GCTTTTAACATTTAGGCATATTAGAAATGAATGCATTCCTCATATGCCTACATGGCTGATGTTAAGGTACAATGGCCATTGTACAAGAAAGGTGTGAATTAACACACACAAATCTTAACTCCACTCCTAGAGAAATAAGATTAATAGAATGAAAAGAAAAAACAAACAAACCAATCATGGTCATATCACAGACTCGATCTTGAACTGACGTCTTCCTCTATATTCCTTTCCTTCTAAATAAATATACTGAAAAATTTTAAATATCAGTTATCTTAGTGTTTTCCTACACATATGCAGACAAGGTTCCTTGGGTGAATTTGATATCTTTTATTAGACCAACCCAAATAGTTGGAGAATATTTATTAAGCAAGCTTTCGGGTTCAAAAACCCTTCGTCAGGCTAAGGAAGCTTCAGCAGTTGGTGTGTGCTCTTCCTGGATGGAATGAAAAGTAAACAAGCCAGGGGCTGGGGAGTCAGTTGTTCCTACACATATAGCCTGGATCTTATCAGACACTAAAGTATATGTCAGTAGTATTTAAAGTTAACAGCCTGTATGAGATTAATTTGGTAGTTTCTGTCAAATTTGCAGGGGAGAAACATTATGCAAGTTTCATCACAAAACTGATATCAAGCTTCTTAATTAGTGCCAGTCACAGCAGAGGTCAAAATCTGACATAACTTAGACTGAACTGAGACATAGACATAGTAGCCCTCATGTAGAGACCTGCACTGCCTGTACTGTACTGTCCTGTTATGGATTATCATTCCATTTCACAAATATTAATCCACAAAAATTTAAATAAGGTTGTAGATAAATGGGATGCAGTATTGTTTAAACGTAAATTTCATCAAGGTTTGTAATTGAGGACTACATGCAGATGAACAAAGTTGTGCTGACACCATGGAGATCTTCATGCCAAACTCTTTGGTTGCAAACAATGGTGTAAATTATATACTGAGTGTTCGATGGATAACACCTATGCAAAAGGCATAGCAGACAGTCACTGGCTAAAACAAAAACAATCCTGAGAGCACATACTGAAACTGAGAATTTAGCTATCTCTAACCTACCAGTTAGCTTTAGAACCCAAGTTTCTCACTTCCTGGGTGACTAGTCTAACCACTAGTCTATTACATGACAATAGCCACTATCAGCACTGTCACTCAGTTGGCTGGCCTGCTCTCCCCTCCACCACTCTTTATGAGAGAACTTTGGGCTCTGGATTTCAAGTGGATGGGGACATTCAATGTGCAGCCCCATGTCAGGGACTAAGGCTAGGGACAGAAATTACACATAAACCAGTATATGTGATTGGAAACCAGTTCAAATCTGTAACATAACAGAAGTTCAGTGCACAAACTGCTTTCAAAATGGCTGGAACCAGTGTAAGATAAACCTGGATTGATGTAGTATCAAACTGAACTGATTTAGGTTAAATCAGTCTATTGAACTTCTACCCTAGATCCCCTCCAGATCCAAGTTAACTCACAGTCCACCAGCATCCCAGGTTGCTTTGCACCTTGTGGCAGGGCACTGTTGGTGCCTGCCACTTTAAGGGCTGGAGCAGGCAGTAGCTAGGTGCTCGAGTGTGGAGTCCATTTTGAGACCCAGGATATATATAGGGTGAAGCAGCAGTTTGCTGTTGGCAGCCATGAAAGAGACATCAGCCAGCTCAGGAACAGATTGAAGGTTTATGGGCTGGGGCTATGGGGATAGAGAAGGCTCCTGGTCCTGGGCATGACCTAAAACTCCACTGGGGATGGGTGGCCTGGTGGGGGCTCTGGTGGTGTGGGAGCCCCCAGAAAATGCCAGGCCAGTTACCACCCCGGTGAAAGGCGGGTTGGGGTGCCTTAATAACCCCAGCCCCCACAACTGGGTGGGTAACCCCATTGTGGGGCCTGAGAAGGTGGACCCATGTTAGAGAGTGTGGGCTAGTTGCTCAGAAGCCTGACTTGGGGCATCCTGGACTGGTCAATGCTGGTGCCAGGACCAGAAGGGTCAAAAGGGCATGGGGCCCATCATGAGGGACACCCAGAGCCGAGGGCCTGGGATTCTACCTGGCTTTGGAGGTGAGGCCAGGGCCTGTGTGGCCAAAGGTCCCGAGGGGCACACCTGAGAGGGGGAAAGAATGCAGGGAGCTTGACAGCCCAAAATGAGGGTGGAGTAGGCTGCCTGATGAGAAGAGGTCTAGTTGGGTTCCAGATGAGTGTGTTATGGGGCCCAGTGTGGGGCCGGAGATGCAAAGAACTTAGATGTCATCTGCAAGGCATGGGCTGCAGTGTAGGCACGTGGGCTGTGGTGTAGGGGAGGTTTTGGAGCCGCAGATAATGCCCCCTGGCATTGGGGCAGGAAATGGTAAGTCTCCCACTTGGGTAATATCTTAATCATTTTCTATCAAGGCGTGGCAAACAAGAGAGGCGGGTGGTTGGCTCATAAACAGGTGGGCGGGTTGACATCCAACTGGCCCTGGGAAAGCCCCCTGTTACACACCTCTGCTGCAAACCACCCTTCACAGGGTGGGCAAGCTAACCTTGACCCAATCTGTCTGCTTCAGCTGAGCAGGGAGGCATGTGCCCTCTGGCTTCTGGCTTGGGCCACCACAGGCATGTGGCTGCATTTCCAGAATCAAAAGTAAATGCCTGTTCTTTTGCTTATCAATTCAATCTGTGCAGCTTAGGCTAACCTGCAAGGAGTGAAGTGATTCAGCCTTGGGCCTTTTGACTGTATGACTTTTCAGTTCCAACTTCTAGAACACCTGCTTTAAAAAAAAATGTTAAGATAAAGGAGAAGTAATATGAAAAACTAATATTTTTATATTACATTACTACAGTTAAGGATAGCAACTAACAATGAAACTATGCCATCCTTTAGAAGTTGTTGGTTTGCTGGGCTGTTCTTCAGGAAAGCTAGACAAAGCAGCCATACTATGTCTTGTTCATTTTTTGCTTAGTGTTACCTTTTTTTGTGCCTAATCCATGAAAAGTAAAGAGCAATTTCTCTAGCCAATGTCCTTCACCAGAGAAGTTAAACAAATGCAAAATCCTGCACTGACAATGTTTTGTCAATGGCAGCTTGTGATGGAATGACGTTACGTCCCCTTCAAGCAAGGGTGGCTGTTCAATGCGATGTGCTGTAGGCAACTTTTTCAGTTGCGGCAGAGTAGTATGGAGGCACATGAGCATTCCAAAAAGTCCACTCACTAATTGCAACTTCTTTCTGCTTCCAATTTACTGAGGTTTTAAAAAATGTAAGCTGAAGACAGCCATGTGAATCTGCACCGTCAGTGCAGTCTGTGATGCATTAAAATCTCATGTATAGTCACTATGCCCAAAGAATAGAAAGAATGGTACATTACTGAGGTACTGAAGAACATCCACAGACACTGCATTGGATGTCTACACATATGGCCCCACACAGAACCACTTTTTATTTTTTCAGAAATATAAGAATAATTTAACAGTCATGAATTGAATCAGGGACCTCTAGAAGTCATCTAGTCCAACCTGCCTGCACATGTGGTTGCTACCTCCAGCTTCTTCCTGGTTACAGAAAGGAAAAAAATCTTCAACTATAAGAGAGACAATGATCTGTTCTGCTAGTTAGAATGAATCAAACTCTTCTGAGTAGCAGATATATATATATAGAGGATCTTAGACTCCTCGGACTGCTATAACTATTTTCTTGCATACTTGTGTCATGGTCTGGTTTTTATTCCATTTGTCCATTCTAAATCTGCTGCAGGTGTCTCAGAGATCTAATTTAATTCACCAAAAAATCATCCTGGCTGACTGGAAAATGGGCTTGTTATTTTACATAAAATAAATGAATGAATCAATATATTTTGCTGCTGTATAGCATACCATCCTTCCAGGACCAAATGACCCTATTCACCCTTCCCCTCACCTCTGCAGATGTCAGACCCCTTCCGAACTTGACTAACTAACTAACTAACTAAATATATATATATAGGGGGCGCGTGCACATACACACACATAAAAAATGTGTTTATATATATTTTACAAGCTGCCATTGACATTCTTATTTATTTGTCAGGTTGGGGAGGGGTCTGGCAGAGGTGAGGGCAAGGGTGAATAAGGTCACTTGGTCCTGGAAGGATGGTATACTAAACAGCAGGGAAGTGGCTGACCCAGTAGAGGAGTTCAGTACATTCAGGACAGACTGAAGGGAACAAATTTAAAAGCCTATCAGTGCCAGGACATGGACTATTCTAGGTAGAAAAGGATTGTGTGTGTGTGGGTGTGTATTACACCCCCCCACACACACACTCCTTTTATACCAAGACTTTATGTTAAGTTGTATTACTTTGTCAGCATTTAATAAGGTGTGTTGTAACTAAATGATAATTCAGCCTTTTAAACCAAATTAGCAGAGGGAAACAGAGAATGAATATATTTTTGCAGACAGCAAGCAAACTGGATTAAGCGGAAGAAGATTTAAAGGCTTTGGCTATTGAGAACTGTAGATTCTTTAGTATGACACGCACACTAGTTTTATGTTAAGACCTGCCATTCAGACAATATCAAATTAGAACAGTCAATTACATAAAATACAACAGATATAACTGAGGGGAGATATTTAAGTTATATAAACAGTCATAGGTTAACTAATTACCCACCGGTTATTTATAACCAACAATATGATTAATGGTTGAGAGAACAAAATTTACATTTGAATACCAAGTATCAAAACATACATGAACCCATAAAATAAATCTCGCTGCCTGTTTGTTCTACTGGAAGATGTTACCTACTTTGTTCAGATTCTAAAGGACAAGGGGCTTTTTCTACCTATGTTGATCAACAAAAAGATGACATGTGCTTTTAATTCCTATTAAATGCAACATTTGGCAGGACTGAAACCATAATCCTTATAGTTTATAGGTTATACAAGAAATTAATTATCTACATAGGTGCTATATTCCGCAGTAATTCAACAACCAAAAAAATGGATTGTGTTTATAATTGTATTACACACTTACATGAAATTCACACAGCCTGTGCCTGCAGGTGGAGCAATCCAAACAAAACTGAGGTTTGTTGTTGGTAGATGACTCACATGTGAAGCAACCACACTGCACATAAACTGATTTCCAAACTGGTGATCAGACATAATCCCTAAAAGAAAAGCATAATGGCATGAAAAACACAATGCATCTCAACTGCTCATAACAAGGTTTTTTAATAGACGGTTGTAGTAATGTATCTATAATATTTTTCTTTCATGAACAACAACATGGAATTCAAGAAGGAGGCAGTCAGCCCCAATATAGCCAGAAGTAAAGCCCGTACGGTTACCCCAGCCACCCTCTGTTTTTGTCAATGTTGTTTTTATCTAAAAGAATTAGCCGTGATTATTTTTAGGAATCAACCACATAATCTAATTTGATTTAATATTTAAAAGGAAAGGCTAAGATTCTCAGTTGGCATAACCAATATTACCCCATTATTTTAATTCACCTGTAGAAGTTAAGGAGCTGGCCTACAAATCTTGGAAGAATGCAAAACATTATAAAAGAATGAAATGGTTTTACAGCATTCATTACTATAAATTAATGTGAATTTTGCTGAAACAGCCTTTCATAATGTTAAATGTATATGTCTTACAGAAATTACTACTGTAGCTCATCATTACATAAAAGAATAATACTGGCAAAATAAAGCAACATCAATTGGAGCCAGCAACTTTTCTTCCCTTCAGAATCCTTTTGTAGTTTCCTACAAATTAGTGCAAAATTCTATTCTTTTTTAACACCTGTAGGCTTGAGGTCAAGAGTCAGTGGGATTGTGCCCTCAAATTTAGAGCACTCTCATTCAAGTAAATTACTACATCCATAATCTCTTCACATGGTGCATTAGCCAATAAAGGTTTAAACCATCCATTTTAATATAGTTATCAAAAGTAAATACCTACTTCCTAATAACATACTTCAAATATTGACCGTTCCACTTAGAAAACTGTCATTTATTGTTAAATCTGATTTAAAAAAAAACAAACTGCAGCAGCACATTCACATACAAAAATGTAGACATGCACATGGCTGCCAGGCAGCCTGGACAGCAGCTCCCACGGGTAAGTCTGGTGGGGGAGGGGAGGGAACAGGATTGAGAACTCCATAGGGAAGGAGGGAGCGAGGCAGGGAGGGAGCTGGGCAGGGCTCAGGCTGCTACCCAGCTAGGGTGGTGTATGGGGCTTTGGACCAAAATTCACAGCCACAGGGCCTGGGTGGGGAGTGGGACAGAACCACAGGCAGTTTGTCTGGGGATGGGGGCTGGCTCCCCACAGCTGCACAGGAATTCACTAGGGGGCATGTGCCCCCCAGATTTGTGTGTGCAGTGGGGGTGGGCTGCCCACTGCCAGTTTGGGCTCCCTGCCCTACTGGCCTCCCCACCCCAGGGCCTCTGCAGTCTAGTGGGTGGGACCCAATGTGTCAGGGCAGAGCAGGGCCTGGCAGGAAAGCTCCTTGCTGCTACAAGCCCTGTGCCTCCCTGGCAAGGCACCCCCGCCCTCTCTCCTTCCTTGCTTTCACCCTAAATGGTAACAGTTGGTATGGAGGCATGGAGTTGTACTCTTCAATGCTTCTGGGTGGGCAGGTGGTACCTTGCAGGGGCAATGTGGGGCTCTCAGTAGCAGCACCAAGCTTCCTCACCTGGCCCTGCTCTGTTGCACCAGGTCCTGCCTTCTAGGCTGCAGAGACCCTATGGGGAGGGGAGCCAGGCAAGGAGCCTAAGCCTGCACTCACCACCCCCACACGCTCCACTCTGGCCATACTGAGCATGGGTTAGGGGGAGCCAGGCTCCATGGTCCTCTTTGCTGCAGCAGCCGCTGCCTTTTGAAAGCAGCAACTGGGGCTCAGGTGCTGATGTGGCATGGGGCAGTGGACCTAGGTCCCTGGCCCCATAGTCCTGGCAGCTGTAGGCCCCCTCTGGCAGGGCTGGCATTGTGGGGGGTGAGGGGCACTGGCAGGGCTCGGAGGTTGTGGCTTGGGAGTGAGGGGGCTGGACCTGCATCCTGGTGAGCTAAGGGAGCAGTGGGAGCTCTGATTTTCCATGATAAAAAAAATCAAATACCAAAATATATAGGTACTTAGAATTTATTCTATTATAGTGATTGAGGCATTGGTAGGCTTCCAAACTGCTAATTTAAAATTGTAAATATATCAATACAACATTGTGTTCAATTTTATATATATATATATATATATATATATGGGTTTGTGTGGGGCGGGATGTTTCATTTTAATCATGGATTTTGGGGTTATAATACGAGAATTTGCAATTTATCAGAGAATTTTTAAATGGAGAAAACAAGGATCCCTGGTAATTAAGATATTCCAGACCTTGAATCATTATGGTATCTCTTCTCAGAACCCTTTACAAATTGCTGCTATTGTTTTTAACATGTAGACACAAGTGATGGATAAGTGATTCCAATTACAATCATACTAGGCATGTCTACATGAGATGCTAACTGTGCAGTAGCCTAATAACACTGTGCAGTAGCATGCTGGGCAAAAACTGTGTTAATACATTACTGTGTAGTAGTATTAACATAATAACAGTGTGCAGTAAGTGTCACTAAAAACCCATGCATTAGTGCTACTGCGCAATAGTGCAAGTTACTGCACACAGATTTACTACTTAGTTAACCAAGTCCTAAAACTTAATGCATAGTAACTATGGTGTGGTAATGAACATGTAGACACTAGGGCTGTGCAAAACAGCACCATTCCGCTTCGACTTCCATTTTGACAAAACAGTGTCTCATTTCAAGTTTTGTTTTCTTTCAAAAGCACTGTTCTGTTTCATCAAAATTATTTTGCTGTTTTGATGCTGTTTCGACGTTTCTAACATAGGCTATAACAGGGTATCATGAAAATGCCTAAAACATTGTCATTTCTTGCCTGATTTGGATGAAACTTGCAGAGATGGTAGCCCCTTCTGAGGGCATGAAGCCTGCCAAGCTTCAAGGAGATATGTGCAGAGGTTTCTGGGAAACTGCACCTCAAGGTGTTGACAAGCAAAACTCCTGTCACTTGCCGGCAGCAGCAGCCTCCTGTCATCTGGCGCACGGATCTGGGTGCCCACACCCCTGGGAGGGCTGTGGGTCTGTGCCGGACTCCTCCCAGGGTGCAGGCCCCTGATCTGCCTGCCAGATGACAGAAGGCTGGTTCTGTCACCTGGGGCCAGCGGCAACACCAGTCTTCTTGGTGCTGAGTGCCGGCTGCGCCCTGCGCTGGTCCCAGCTGGCGGCAGCAGCCTCCCGTCATTCCGCACGCAGAATCGGGCCTCCTGTCATCCAGCAGGCAGATTGGGGGCCTGCCCACACCCCAGGGAGGGCTGCAGGGTTGTGCTAGACTCCTCCCAGGGGTGCAGGCCCCCAATCTGCCTACCGAATGACAGGAGGCTGTTGCTGCTGGCTGGGACCACAGTCATGGAGCTGGGCAGGGAACAAACTTCTAACCTGTTCCCAGCCTCTACTCCATGATCACGGAGCTGTGACTGGGAAGAATTTCCCACTGTGACTGGGAAGTGGGGGCTGGGAGCTCCCTGCTACCAGGGCATGGTCCCCACTCAGGCTTGGGTGCCCAAGCAGCAGGCAGTTCCTGTGGGGAGACAGCAATTTACTGTCCCAGGCTGCCCAGCTGACTTGGAGAAATTTTGCTCCCAGTCAGCTATCTACACATGGTACGAATAAGTTTGCTCCCACTTGGGAATAAATTTGCTGCTTGTATAAATAGTTAGCAAATTTACTTGCAATTAGAACAAGTTGCTATGCAGTAAGCATCTGCACCTGTAGACTGTGAAGCTTACTGCGCATTTATTTACTCTAATCTCAAGTAAAGCATTTTGTGTAGATGCGCCCACTGGTCTGTAAAATAACTTGTCCTCATTACTATGTAGTATTCCAGACTGTGGTGAATCATGGTCATGGCTCAATCTGCTGCCCAAACCCCTGGAGCCTGCTTTGACCCGGGCCAGAGGGAACCCGGGTCAGAAGGAGGCGCTCAGTACTTACCTGAACAGGAACTGATGCAGGAACAGCACGCAGTGCAGCCACACCGCTTTATGAGCTCTCTCTGGGCTCAGATGGGCAGCACGTGACTGATGATGTCAGCCTGGCACACCATCACAGAAGAATTAAAAGGCACCGAGGGTGCCAGAGGGTGAGGAGGCAGGAAAGCAGGCTCTGGGTGGCTTGAACCAGGGAGCAGGCGCCTCGTCCTGAATAGAAGTGTCGGGGAAGGCAGGACCCCAGAGTGCATCTATTTTGATTAAGACTAAAAGAGAGAAAGAGCCAGGAGGCTCTATATATTACAGATAGTTAGAGGACACCTAAAATAGAAAGTGTCATGATTTTGTGTTCAGTTGCAATATTTTCTTTATTTCTTATATAACTGTAAAAGAAGTAAAAAGACCAGAGATATAAGTCTAGTCAAAAAGGACACAGCAATCCTCTCTGATCTGCCAGGAAAAAGGAGAGCAATTCTGGATAAGGGAATTACACCTAAAAAACCCTGCAACACCGCAGAAATTAGGACTGAGCACATTGCAGCTGGAATCAAGTATTAAATATCATGAAACGTCATTGTCAGCGGTTGGTGAGTGGCTGGGGTGTAGGGGAGGCGGAGCCCCATGTCAGTTTTGGTGGTACCATAAGTAAAGCCCGGAGGCGGACCCATGTTATTTCACACTGAACTCCCCCTAAATATATATTTCACAAAGATGTGGCAGGTGAGATAGGGATACTGCTTCACCCGGGAGGTTTTCTTTTCTCTTAGTCACGTTATGGCCAGAGGCATGACACAGACATTTTTGTATAATCTGTAAACTTTACCAGCAATGATTTTACAGTTTCTTCTAGATGATTAATCTTCCATAGAGGCTCAAGGTTAACAGAGCAAAGGCTTTTGGTCAAACTGATAACAGCCACATACAGTTCCTGGTCTTTATTCTTGGCATTTTTCCTGGATCTGCCAGGCCACAAAAGTCATGTCCATGGTGCCTCTGGATAGTCTGAAGCCACACAGACTCAAGAATGATTTCCTTTGGAAGAAGGAGCAGTCAGTTCAGTAGAATTCAAGCGAGGATCTTCCCAGCGATGGAGAGGAGAGTGA